GCCTTGACAAGAGTAACTCTGTTGATTTCAGCATGGCTGCTTGGGTGAGTCTGTCTCCTAATTTGCTCAAACACATTAAATGGAATGCATTCATGAGGGGCTTTTTTGCATTGAGCTTTGGGACCAATGAAGATATACAGGCAGTCCCGGGGTTACGTACAAGATAGGGACTGTAGGTTTGTTCTTAAGTTGAATCTGTATGTAAGTTAGAACTGGCGTCCAGATTCTGCCGCTGTTGAAACTGATCAGTTTCAGCAGCGGCTGACTTGGGGACGCCTGGGTTTCTTAAGTTGAATCTGTATGTAAGTCGGAACTGGCGTCAGCCGCTGCTGAAACTGACCAGCGGCTGACTACAGGAAGCCCGAGGCAGAGTTGCTCTGCCCCAGGCTTCCTGTAATCAGCCGCTGATCAGTTTCAGCAGCAGCTGACTTGGGGACGCCTGGGTTTCTTAAGTTGAATCTGTATGTAAGTCGGAACTGGCGTCAGCCGCTGCTGAAACTGACCAGCGGCTGACTACAGGAAGCCCGAGGCAGAGTTGCTCTGCCCCAGGCTTCCTGTAATCAGCCGCTGATCAGTTTCAGCAGCAGCTGACTTGGGGACGCCTGGGTTTCTTAAGTTGAATCTGTATGTAAGTCGGAACTGGCGTCAGCCGCTGCTGAAACTGACCAGCGGCTGACTACAGGAAGCCCGAGGCAGAGTTGCTCTGCCCCAGGCTTCCTGTAATCAGCCGCTGATCAGTTTCAGCAGCAGCTGACTTGGGGACGCCTGGGTTTCTTAAGTTGAATCTGTATGTAAGTCGGAACTGGCGTCAGCCGCTGCTGAAACTGACCAGCGGCTGACTACAGGAAGCCCGAGGCAGAGTTGCTCTGCCCCAGGCTTCCTGTAATCAGCCGCTGATCAGTTTCAGCAGCAGCTGACTTGGGGACGCCTGGGGCAGAGCAGGTGGGGTGCTGCTGGGTTGCTCCAGTAGCGCCGAGGAGCGGCGCTACTGGAGCAACCCAGCAGCACCCCAGCTGCTCTGTCCCAGGCGTAGGCAAGAAAAGCCTGGTCTGCTGGGGGGGCACTAGCTGCCCCCCCCCCCCCCCCCCCCCAGCAGACCAGGAAGACCGGGAGAAGCTTTTCTCGCCCCGGAGGACACGGGTGGCGACCCGCCGCCCGTGAGCTCCAGGGCGAGAAAAGCCCCGTTCGTAAGTGCGGATCCTACGTAAGTCGGATCTGTGTAAGTCGGGGACTGCCTGTAATTACAATACTCTTGGTTAAAAAAGGGAGAAAGAAAATGAGCTTTGTAAACCTTATCAATAACTTATGACTAGGGTTCGCCAAGCGACGGCAAGCCCCACTCACCAGCCGCGTGGTTCTGCAAGCTGTGCATGCGCAGATTGCGTGGCGCCGCCTATTCCGGCTTATAATCTACTCGCCACGAGCGAGTAGATTACATGATTTGTCGAGCCCTGCTTATGACTAATTCTCTTTGCATCTTGTCAGAAAGGAATTGTTTTATACCAATTTTTTTCTCCCCTCACATTTCTGAAAATTACTATACAAGCATCAGGCTGTCCTTGCTATACGTCCAAAATATGTTCCAAAAAAACCTCGGACTTATAGTGAAACAACTTAAAGCAGGAAATCTTTTTCCTACGGCTGACTTCCATTTGCACAATTTTTTGGGGGGTGCTCTTTAAGTGCCAGGAATGGGAGGACTTACAATGCATCAGTTCCCACAAGCATCAATGATTCTAGCGCAGAACGGATGTATACCAGGGTAACTTATAGCAGGGACCCCATACTTATCAGCAGAGTAACAGACTAAGGATGTTAAGGACTACTCAACTATCAGATAAGCAAATGATTATTGCATAGTCCAGTCGACTAGTTGATTCCCCACTCCTTGCTGCCTCTATCAGATATTATGCCTCTTCCATATTTCTACCCCGTGCAAAGGAAGGGTTAAACTACTTTGTGTCAGGCTATGATGAACTAAGAAGATTTACAAACCCTAATCAGTAAGTAATGTGGCTGCTTTCCGTTTTTATTAAATTTTTAATCACATGAGATGCTGTAGATCAGTGTTTCTCAAACTGTGCTCCACAAGACATCTCCAGGGGCTCTGCAAGGTTGACAAACTGGAAACATCGATAGGTACAACACATACAATCAGTGGACCATTGGGGCTCCACGTAAATTTGTACACATGTAAAGGGCTCGAGAGCCCAAAAAGTTTGAGAACCACTGCTGTAGATGAAGCCCGAAAATGAGCTTACTGAGTGGCTGTATAAATTTCTTCACGATTAACATTTGCATTGAGCATTGGAGAAGTAAACACCACAACTATTTACTATATATTTGAGAAAGTTTGTGTGTCTGTTCACCTATCTGTCTGTGAGTCTGTTTGTTCAACACCTCCTAAACAGTAAAAATTTGGTATGCAACTTCCTCTTATCATAACTTAAAGCCAGGATTTGGTTGTGCCAGGACAATGGGCGTGTGTGGAATGTGATCGTTTCCCATCAAATGGAAAGAGATTGGCTGCTACCTCGCTCAAGGCTAACCCTGGGGAGAGGCCACTGTCCAGGTTGTGCTCCCACCCCCCGTCCCGGGCTGACCTGGAGAGAAGCCACCAGATACTCTGGGTTGGCCCCCCTCTTGCCACCCCAGGGAGAAGCCAGTGGCCGCCCCTGCCCTGAGACCCCCTTGTACTCTCCCATACCTCCTAAGCCTCTTTCCTGACTCCTGCATCCCTACTGCCTCCATGAGCCTCCACACACTCCCTGTTCTGAGCCCCTCCTTATCCCCAACTCTGAGTGCTGTACCCCCCAGACCTCTGCCCCAAGCCCCTCCTCACATCCTGACTCCTGCACCTCCACATGCACACCCAGCCTTCTGCCCTGAGCCCCCCACATCTCCAAGCCCCTGCCGTCACTCCTGCACCTCCCACATCTCCAAACCTCTGCCATGAGTCCATCCATAAGGACTCGAGCAATGCCAGGTCACTTTGTTAGTTAAGTAATAAATCTTCAGTAAACGCGAAAAATTTATACAAATTGAAAATAAATCTAGTGTAGTTCAGTAAATTGTAGGGTGCCCCTGGATGAAAAGGAAGGAGAGTGTGATTCCTCCCAGGACTGATTTCCTTCCTCCTGCTGGTTCAGAACCAGTCAATTTAGAGGTGGCAGAATGGCATTGCAGAGTTTCAGTAGGTTCACCCTCCCAAGACTACTGCTTCTCCTTGCTATGGATCTAGGATTTGACTTCTCCTAATTCTGGCTCACCCCTGTTCTTCTTTCTTCCCTCCCTCAGTGTCACTCTCTTTCTTCATCTTGCCTCCACACATGTACATCCTCTTCCTACAAATGCCCCTCTTCCCATCCCTTGGCAAAGCCCCTCTCTGACTGCTGTTTCCCAGACCTTTCCCTTTTTTCCCCTGTGCCTGTAGCATCTCCGTTTTCCCCAATGTTCTGCTTCCCACTCTTTTTGCCTGCTTTGTTCCTCCCCATACAACTCTCAGGGCCCCTTCCTTCATGTCCATCTCTCCCCCTGACCATAAATACAGGTCATCTGCCAGCCTCTCCTCTGTGTGGAGCATTCCCCGGGTCCATGGTTCACTTTTCCAATAGAGATACAGCACTGACTGCCCCAGCATAGTTTGGTCTAGGGCATTGTAGACAGAAAGGGCTCTCATCTAATACAAGGAAATTCTTGGAGATGGAAGTGGAAGAGGGCACTAACAGTCTGGATTTAGTGATATGAATCCATTCGCAAATTTGTCCCTAAAACCGAGGAACATCCCTGATTTCAGGGATTGCCCTGGTGTCCTTCTCAGTTGTATAAAGTTCAGTATTTTGTCCCAGTATTATCGCAGTCTCTCACAAGTCTAGTCAGTAGAGCTAGGGCAATGGTTCTTGTCCAGGGGTAGGTGTACTTCTGCGGATACACAGAAGTCTTTCACAGGTACATCAACAAATCTAGGTATTCACCTAATTTTACAACAGGCTAAATAAAAAATTCTAGCAAAGTCAGTACAACCTAAAATTTCATACAATGACTTGTTTATACTGCTCTACGTACTATACACTGAAATGTGAGTACAATATTTATATTCCAATTAATTTAGGTTATAATTATATGGTAACGCGAAAGTGAGCAATTTTTTGTGCTAGCCTTCTGCGACACTTTTGAATGTTTATGTCTTATTTTGTAAGCAAGTAGTTTTAAATGAGGTGAAAGTTGTAAGACAAATCCAACTCCTGAAAGGAGCACAGCAGTCTGGAAAGGTTGAGAATCACTGAGCTAGGGAATGTGACAGCAGGCTGGCAAACTACACATACACCTCGAGCACCTGCACAGGTAAGACACATCAAAGGCTGACGCTTTGCCCTCCCCACATGGAATGCGAAAGGGAGTGGACAGTTTGACAGACAAGAGAGGGCACCCTTGTCTCAATCCTCCTTGGTGCCAACCTCTCCCAGACTGTCTATGAAACTCTCCCCTTCTCTCCTGCCCCACTGTGACAAGTGACCTATTTTCTCCACTTTGAGACTCTGCTCTGCCTATTCCTGGGGCGGCTACTTCCCCAGCCCACAGCAAAAGGATACTCTTCACCTAAGCCAATGAAAACCACTTAACTCATCCCTACCGTGCCTCAGTTTCCCAAAGTGTAAAACGGTGGCATACTCGCCCACCTCTCTCATGCGCCCTGATGGGCAGATGAAACCCGCTGCAGAAGCTCAAGGTACCACCGCACTAACCTACGTGTTACTGGGCAGTGACGAGAAGCTGAGCAAGGGTATCACCAGCTTGGATTGTGCCCCTGGGGAGGCTGGAGGTTTAACCCTTCCCACCCCTCTTGTGTTGCGGAGCCCTGCTAAATCCCGCGTTGCCTCCCCTCAGCTGGAAATGCAGGTGCGTCACGGGGATGAGCCCTGCGAAGCACGAGGGGGGCTGCTAGGGTATCCCCGCGGCTCGAGTGAAAACCTTGCTGGGCACGGGCCCGGGAACTGGATTGTGCCCCTGGGGAGGCTGGAGGTTTAACCCTTCCCACCCCTCTTGTGTTGCGGAGCCCTGCTAAATCCCGCGTTGCCTCCCCTCAGCTGGAAATGCAGGTGCGTCACGGGGATGAGCCCTGCGAAGCACGAGGGGGGCTGCTAGGGTATCCCCGCGGCTCGAGTGAAAACCTTGCTGGGCACGGGCCCGGGAACCGGGGCGCAGCACCGGGGACTCCCCGGAGCCCCCGGGAGGCGGGCACCGTC